TTGTGAATGTATAGTCCTCTGCTGAAGGCCGCATTGTCGTCGAAAGCGAGCTTTGCATCACATACCATAATTCTCCCATCTTCTAGCTCAGCCAACGGGTTGACTTCCAACATAGTGCAATCGGCTCCGACGAAAGTCCTGTAGAGGCCCTTCAGAGTCGCCATTGCAGAGGGGTCACCATTAAAACCCAAATGTTCGACAGCCTCCTCAGCTTGACGAGTAGTGAGGCCAGTAGTGACATCAATTGGGATTTTAGTGACAGCATCTGGGTGCTCTATAGCGACCTCCTCGATGCTCATACCACCGTGCTTGGACATTACCATCACCGGTCCACCAAGCCCTCGGTCCAACATAATAGCAAAATATTTTTCCGCGACTATCGGCAACTTCTCACAGAGAAGGACTCCTTTACATGTTCTACCACTAAGACCAGTCTGCCTAGTAACGAGTGATTTGTTGAGCATTTGCTCAGCCACGATTCGAGCCTCTGAGGGGGAGCTCGCAATATGAACACCGCCTTGAAAACCGTTCTCTTTAAAGTGACCTCTACCGCGACCACCACCGAGGACCTGAAGCCTTGATCATTCCTTGCATTTAGTGACATCACTTCTCACCTGAGCTTTGACAACAACATCGCCACCGCCGAGCCTTCTGGCATAGTCTTCGACCTCATTACTGTTCCTAGCGTAAAAACACTTTGGTACAGCATCGACGTGAAATTGATGATGTAAAAGGTTCATAGATTGATACTCGTGGAAGTGCAAATGGCGAACAAATACACCAGGAGGAGCAAAGACAGGACGGAGAGAAGAAAGCATTGGAGTATAACTAATTCTGAACAACATGGTATGTTACGGTGGTGTGCGAGTAGTACCGCAATTTTTCAAATGTCGGCGCAAATCGTAAGATTAGCGCTCGCCCACAAGCAAATTTACCACGCAAGGACCGTTCACAGTGATCAAATCCCCACTGTGAATTCTCCCAATATTAGGACCACTACAACGTCTCCTCAGTTTTATGCTCTGTTGTTTGCATACTACCCTGGCCTTCTCGAATTCAACCTCAAGCTTTTTTCGTTCACTCAGAAGTGATCACAGCATACACAGAGACATTGAACAACCTCATAGGCAGCCTCAACAGGCTTTAGTGGTTGACTCACCATCATTTTTGTAACCAATTTTCATAAGTTTCCTATTTTTCCTCCAATGTCAGCAGATCTCGTTATTGTTGAATATGAAGATGTCACCTGTCCCGAAGCCGACCTAAGCGAGGCTGTCTACAAGGCCTTCGGACCGGACGGTATTGGTGCGATTGGCATTAGGGGAGTTCCCCACTGGGAGGAGCTTTGGCGCTCCGTCTTACCCCTATCTCACAAGTTGGCGACTCTACCTCCGTCGAAGCTCCAAGCCTTAGAACATGAACCTAGTATGTACAATGTGGGATGGTCCCACGGCAAGGAGAAACTCGGTGATAAGCCTGATCTCGCTAAGGGCAGCTTCTACTTCAACCCCCTCACCGACGATCCTCTGCCAGAGCTG